AGCCTTGTATACCTTCGTAGTTGACTCACTTACCGTCATCTCACGGCACTCTCTTATACTGTAGATTTTTACAGCTCTAATTAGGCGAGCTTTATCGGGAAAATACATGCCCTTTGTCAGAACAGCTGGTCTAGACTCATCCCACATCGCTGACCGAATTTCGTCATCATCCCTTGTGAGGGCATCCACGTTCGGCATACTTGACAAATTATCAAGGTAGGGAATATTCCGCTCATGAAATGGCACGTGTGACTCGTACACTCTTTGTCTAGCGGGAGGTGGAGGAACATGCTCCCTCGTCAGCTCAGGTTCAACATTCACTTCCTCCTCATCATCACCCTCATCATGGAAGGGTGTGTCATCCCCAGACTCATCCGCATTGTTGTCATAATCACTATCATCTTCCAGACTCTGCGCATCAGCCAAATCACGAGTCAATACGCGTCTATGGGCAACTGTGTGAGGTCAGGAACGTCAAGAAGCTCGTTTTCACTGCACAAAAATAACAAAATGATAAGTTACCCAACTACATAAATACTTTTGATATAGCTATATCACTTTACTTACAAGTCGTATTGTCTTGACGTTTCATGATGGATATTTTCTTGTTGGTGATGACTCCCGGATGGACCACCGTGCTCCAATTCTCCAAAACTACGCATATTCCAACTAGGGACGGGGTCATAACTTGTAAAATTTATATCCGGACGGTACCCCCTATGAAAAATATAAGTGTTAATACAAATCCAATTAAAACATAAAATAAACATCGCTAAAGCTTAGAAATTTGAAGTTTACCAGTCGTCTTGTGGATTATATAAAGTCGAAAAATTATTTTGTGGCTGCTCATTCGTCGGTGGTGACAAGTTTAAATCAAGGCAAGCCCTTTCATCAGCAATCTGTCCGTTAAAATTGCTCCAGAATAACCACCCGATGACCGGGGGTTATCCCTACTATGCACGCCCTCATTATTAGGAACGTCTTCCACCTTGACGTACATTTCCAATAACTTTATTACAATAAATTTCCTATATTCATCCGGAATCCGCAAAAAATCTCTAAGAGTTTCATCATCCTCGATGTTAAACTCAGAATAATAAGCAAACCCCTGCGGAGTCACTGAATACGGAAACCTACCCGTTACTTTAAGGTTAACCGAATGCTTCCTCACACTCATTTTTTTACATAACAACGAAACCAATTTATCATACTCCATAGTAAGCGGCAATTTAACATGACACTGTGGAGGTGAGCTATACCTCACAGAGTTATTCTCCAGCACAACCTCCACCCCCCCCCCTCCAATATAATGAAACCCTTATTTTTGGCTCTTCAGACATTGTACAAAAATGATTGATAAGAAGAAGAGAGAAGTATGAACGGAAGTTTGAGTTTGTATTGAATGAATTTTCATAAAATTGAAACGCCTTTAAATAAGGCAAGGTACAGAATTGGTGGGGCCAAATTAATAAAAAAAATACTTAATTCGCAGTACAGTACTGCGAATTAGCTAAAAAAAATATTTTTTTAATGATACGCAGTAGAATAATGCGAATCAATATTTTTTTAACTAATTCGCAGTACTCTACTGCGCATTAATTAAATTTTTTTTTTTATTAATTCGCAGTACTCTACTGCGAATTACCTTAATGGCTAAATTTCCGTTAAGGTAATTCGCAGTATAGTACTGCGAATTATGTATTTAGGTAACTGTTTTTTTTAGCAGTAAAAACGTATTTTTTGTCAAAAAAACGTTAGAAAAGTTTCGGGCTCGTGTTTTGAGTCTAATCTTGGGAAT